AGCCCAGGCTGGCCTCGAACTCACAGAGATCCGCCTGGCTCTGCCTCCCGAGTGCTGGGATTAAAGGCGTGCGCCACCACCGCCCGGCATGATTCTTAAACTTTATTATTGAATAGTACTGTGTAGTTAATATTCCGATTTTTCAAGATTCATTGCTGTGGAGGAAATTTGCCTGCACCTTTACCCACTAAATCCTCACTGTTTCTGTTATGCCCCAGAGAAGGAAAACAGCTTATTACAAAGCCCAGAGTCTCAAAGCTGAATCAGAAGACAATTCAAATTGAGATTTCCCTCTTCAGTCCTGGAGGCATTTGAGTGTGCAGAAAAATTCAATTAAACCACCGACTGTACCCTTTTCCTCCTTCTTCTCAGAGACATATTTTTTTGATTTTTAAATACATTTTCACGACTAATGAAAAATTTAAACATTTATCTGTCCCACGGTTTACTCTGTTCAGAAAAATACCTGGAAAGTAATTACCATTGAAAAGCAGTATGCATTGGGGTTGAAATCACTGCCCAGGGCAACTATGACTCCCTCATCCAGCATCTTCCTGGCTCGAGGCTGCTTCAACCTAAGGGGAGGGGGAAAAGCTGTCAGTCTCCAGCTGGAACTTTTGTGTTATTATTATTTTAAGGTGTGTTGCTTTTGTTTATGTTGCATTTGTTTAACTCAGTGAGGCTGTGTGACTGTGCCTGTCTAAAACACCTGGTGGTCTCATAAAGCCCTGAATGGTCAATAGCGAGGCAGGAGAAAGGATAGGTGGGGCTGGCAGGCAGAGAGGATATATGGAAGGAGAATCTGGGATGAGAAAAAAAAATCAACGAACGAGAGAGGAAAGAGAAGGACATCAGGGGTCAGCCATCCAGCTACACAGCAAGCCACGGAGTAAGATTTACAGAAGTGAGAGAATGGGAAAAGCCCAGAGGCAAAGGTAGATGGGATGATTTAAGGAAAGCTGGCTAGAAACAAGCCAAGCTAAGGCCGGGCATTTATAATTAAGAATAAGCCTTTGTGTGTGATTTATTTGGGAGCTGGGTGGCGGGCCCCCCAGAAAAGTAAAAAAACAAACAACGACACTTTTGCGAGAACAAAGGGAACATTTCTAGAAGAGGGAAGAAAGCTCCAGGGCAAGTGGTGGGGTAGAAGAGAGCATCAGCATCCCCCAACGTTGTAGGGGTTTATCTATGGTTTGCACCTTTAGGATGATGACCTTGTACCCTGTTGTTGCAGCTCTTGGCATCTAAGTGAGTACCATCAGCATCCTCGGGAGTTTGTGTGGACCGGTGCCTAGGCGCCCTGGATGTCTGTGTCCTCACAACCTGTACGTGAAGGCCACGTGTCAGGGTGCAAAAGGTCCTTACCTCAGCATGTAGGCCGTGGTGGGCAGGAGGATGGCGGCACACCGGGCCGCAGCCATGGCGGTGATGCCTTCATCACTGACCTCCTCCAGGTGACTGATCGCCTGTGCTCCTAGTTCAGCCCCGAGCTAGGCAGGATGGGCAGAAAGGGAAAGGTTTACCGTACAACAGTTCAATACGTAGCCGTGACGCTGCTTCCCCAGCTCCGAGAAGGAGAATTCTTGTCAACTACTTCTGATGAGCACAGACCCCCAGACAGATACAGGGTTTGTCACGGACAGCCATTTGAAAATTAGTGTGTTGCTAAAAACTAGTCTTAAAGTGGGGTATGGTGGCTCACATAGGTGATCCAAGCACTTGGAAGACTGAGGCAGGAGAATTGCCAGCCTAGGCTAGCTTTATAGTGAGTTCCAGGGCAGCCAACACAATAGAGACCTTGTTAAAAAAAAAAATTAATCTTAAACACAATTGGTATTTTCTGAATCTTAATTTCATGACTCTCAGGAATCAGAATAAAAACTGGGAATAATATTGGTAATAAAATCTAATTAGCATTCACAGAAACAATAAATATGGCTGTCTTGGAATGCCATCCACTCTGGGAGAAAAGTTCAGGTAAAAAAAAAGAACAAAAAACTTTAAATAATTTGAGGCTATCAACTTGAAAGTGGTTTTTTTTTTTTTTTTTTTTTTCCAGAAGAAACATTGAGACTTGATTGCCAGAAACGACTCAGGAATGACTGAGTAATGACTGGGGAAACCTCAGAGTGGTCTCTTCTCAGTGTGGTCTGCCATATACTTTATTCCCGATGGGATGCGTTTCACACACACACACACACACACACACACACACACACACACACACACACAATTCCAAGCTGAGGACTGGCAAGTTAAACAACCCAAGGGGAAGAATCCAGACCGTCATTTGCTGTTACACCATGGCCGTGAAAGGCTGTCATGTCCTAACCAGAGGGAGGGGCTGACCCCCTGAATCTGCAGCGTGCTCCTGTCTGAAGATGTCTGGGACAGATGATCTGGGAAGTCTGGTGGTCCTCGGGAAACACCTGGGGGGGGGGGGTTTCCTCTCTGACTTTGGAATCACCCTTGCTTTCCAAATTTGATCTACTTATTATGGGTATTGGGTTCTCTCAGTTTTATCTGCTAGTTGCTCTCTCTGACCAATAGTAACTCATTGACCACGCAGATCACATTCATTCAACAAACTCAGCAAACACATGCAAACATGTATCCCAGGCACTGTACTGACCTCCAGAGATAGGGAGTTTCAAGTGGTGGGTGCAAGCTTAGCCAGTGGGGGAAAAACAGGGTGAAGGCACAGTCTCTAACATTTAGGAGATTTGGGATGGGGTCCCAGAGAAGGGGCAGCTAAGGTGAAACGTGGATGAGAGTATGAATTATCCACATTAGAGAAACAGCATGTTCGAAGCATAGGATGTTAAAAGTAGTCTGTTGTGGCTGGTTCCTGACAGAGAGGCAGAGGAGGTGAAAAAATACGAAAGAAATAAGGGGAGAGATAAGGAAGGTCCAGATCCTGATACCCACGTACCAAGGTCAGAATTTATACTAAGAGCAAAATTCTAAGCCTTGTCTTAGTTGGGGTTACTATTGCTGTGATAAAACACCATGACCAAAGCAAATTGGGGGGGACGGTAATGCGGTAATGTGGCTTGTACTTCTACATCATTGTTCATCATCAAAGGAAGTCAGGACAGGATCTCAAATAGTGCAGAAACCTGGAGGCAGGAGCTGATGCAGAGGCCATGGAGGGGTGCTGCTTACTGGCTGGCTCATCATGGCTTGCTCAGCCTGCTTTCTTATAGAACCCAGGACCACCAACCCAGGGATGGTACCACGATGGGCTAGGCCCTCCCCCATCAATCATTATTTAAGAAAATGCTCTGCAGTTGGATCTTATGGAGGCTTTTTCTCAACTGAGGTTGCCTCCTTTCAGATGACTCTAGCTTGTGTCAAGTTGACATAAGACTAGCCACCCCCACTGACCCCTAGTCAATTTGACCCACAAATATGGCTGTGAAGTCATAACCTTCCCTTTCTTGTTCATCCCAGAGATCACACACTAATACGAACATTATAAAGTCCAATTTTTAGAAGCCCCACAGTCTTTACAACTTCCAACATTCAAAGCCTGTAAGAGGGGAGAGATGGGCTGCCCAGGGGAAGTGGGTCTGAAGGCTGCGTTAAAATGGAGTCGAGAATGAAGGACAAATGAGCAGGGCAGAAATCCTAGTAGGCTGCTGGAGGTTTGTGCCACCCAGTAACGTAAGAGACAGGGACATAGAGATTCATGGGAATAGAACTGGGCAGACTTGGTGATTGGCTGACAGAGTCGGGGTGGGGGGGAGAGGATTCCGATGGGTGCCCACGTTTTTGACGTAGCCGACAGACAAAGGATGGTGGTGTCCATGGAGGCATGAGACACGGGCCAAGGTTTGAAAATGACATTAAGACAGCAAGTCAGATCTGTTTAACGTGAGACCCAGGTGGACCATCTGCACCTGTTTATGTCTCTCTCAAGGGTGGTTGTTTCATTCAGCTCTAAGTTTACAGGGAAAAAAAACCTAGACTCAGCTGGACATGACGGCACACCTTTAATCCCGGCACTGGGGAGGCAGAAGCAGATGGAGCTCTATGAATGTGGGCGACATTGTCCCATAGAGGCGGGGCTTAGGTCGAATAAAAAAGGAAAAAGCAAGTGGGTTCCCTATTGCTGAAGTTTTCTCCAGTCCTGCCTGGCCCACAATCAGGACAAATCTCTCTCACCCGCCAGTCCCACAGCCGCTCAGACCCAACCAAGTAAACACAGAGACTTATATTGCTTACAAACTGTATCGCTGTGGCAGGCTTCTTGCTAACTTCTTATATCTTAAGTTAACCCATTTCTATTAGTCTATAAGTTGCCACATGGCTCGTGGCTTACCAGTATCTTACATGTTGGTACTCATGGCAGCGGCTGGCAGCATCTCTCTGCCTCAGCCTTCCACTTCCCAGAATTCTCTTCCCTCTTTGTCCTGCCTATACGTCCTGCCTGGCCACTGGCCAATCAGCACTTTATCTATCAATCATCCACAGCAGTTCCCAGCATTCCTCTGCTTCCTGACTGTGACAAGGTGACATCTGCCTCACGCTCCCACCCCCACGTCTTCCCCACCATAACAGACTGTGTCCCTAAACCATGGGACAAAATAAGCCCTCCCTTGTAAAGCGCTTCAGCTGGCTATTTGTCATGTGACAGAAAAGTAGCTAATTCACGTGCCAACATGCCATGGATTTAGCAAATGACATCACAGGGATGCTTCTCTTCACTGTGTCCATAATAAACGTCACAGGAGACGATAAAAGAAATAACCAGGCTAGGGGCAGCACAGTGCTCCAGCACCAGCTTAGCAAGCTCAGGGCAACAGCCACCACGGGAAGTGATGGGCAGACAGAAATAAGTTGTGTGTGCCCAAGCCTGTGTGTAGATACGAATGCACATGTGCCTGTGTGGACCCTTCCGTGTGGGTATGTCTGTGTGTGCAAGTGTGCGTGTGGATGTATGTGTGTCTGTGTGTGCCCTGTGTGTCTGTCTGTGTGTTTGTATGTGTCTGTGTCTATGTGTATGGCTTATGTGCATGTCTCTGTGTGAGAGAGTGTCTGTGTGTGCATGTATGTGTATGAGTGTCTCTGTGTGTATCTATTGTGAATGTGTATAAATGTGCGTGTGTGTTTGTCTCTGTGCCTATGTGTGTGTGCCTATGTGGCAACCTCAAGCACTGTTTCTCAGGTACTGGCCACCTGTTGGTCTGTCTGTCCTTCCTTTTCTTTCTTTTTCACAGAGCTTTTTTTTTTAAAGATTTATTTATTTGTGTACAGTATTCTGTTTGCATGTGTCCCTGCAGGCCAGAAGAGGGCACCAGATCTCATTACAGGCGGTTGTGAGCCACCATGTGGTTGCTGGGAATTGAACTCAGGTCCTCTGGAAGAGCAGCCAGTGCTCTTAACCTCTGAGCCATCTCTCAAGGCCTTGTTTTTGTTTTGTTTGCAGGTCTGGAATTCACCAAGTACTCTAGTCTAGAGCCCTGGGATCTGCTTATCTCTCCCTCTCCATGGTTGGGATTAGAAGCACATACCACCGTGCCTAGACTGCCTTACATGGGTCTTGGGGATCAGCCCTGAGTCTTTGTACTTTCAAGGCCAGCATTTTACTGAAGGAGCCATCCCCCGGTTCCTCAAGAAAGTTCCTACAGAGGTCACGGGTCCCCAGGCTCAGCCAGACCAGAAACTGCCCATTCTCTACCTTTTCAGAAGGGCACTCCTAACTCTGACCAAATGGGTCGCGTATTCTGCGGCATCAGTGTGCAGGAAAGAGCCAACTGTCAGCCATACCTCGGCAGCCTTCATCGGGTGGAGCTCATCCCCGTGGAAGTTGATCTGTAACCCCATCTTTTTCCCACCTTCAAGAATCCTTCTGGTGGTATCCAGATCAAAGACACCTTTCTCACAGAACACATCTATGTTGTCAACGTGAAGTTCCCCATTTTCTCTGAGTTCTTTCAGCCTTGGTAGGTGGTTACTGATGATGTCATCAGTGGCTTCAATGGCGGTTTTTCCTCTAGTGGGAAGAAATGAGATAATCGTGGGCATATTATTTATATATGTTTTTATTTATTTAAATATATATTCTTTAATATGCATATACTTTAATTTCATATGTAATGCACTGCTTAATACATGTATTTATTATGTGCACTATATATACACATTAAAGACTATATATAGTTTAATAAAGGAAGAATAATAAACAGTATAGGCAAGTGAGCTTAGGCTTCAGAAAGGAAGAGGAAAAGTCCAGAAAAGAAGCCAGAGCATTCGGCAGTTGTACCGTGCGCACACAGCAGGGGTGGCTTCCGTTTGAAAGACCTTGTTATACATAATACGCAGAGATATAAACTGCTCAGCCTCACGAGGCTGTGTGGCCTTCGGGGATGCCAGCAAGGCTGAATTTCTCTCTCAAGGACACTTAGAGGACCCTCTGAGCCCCAGATGTCATACTTCCTCTTTTCTTTTTCCTCTCTATTCACAAGTATTCCTGGAGCCTTCACTTAAGGCATCCTGCCTCACTAACAGGAGTGGGGCAGGGAGCAGAAAGTCTTGAAATGCTCTGTAGAACTTGGGAGTTGTAGCTGGGCAGTGGTGGCACACGCCTTTAATCCCAGCACTCAGGAGGCAGAGGCAGGCGGATCTCTGTGAGTTCGAGGTCAGCCTGGTCTACAGAGGGAGATCCAGGAAAGGCGCAAAGCTACACAGAGAAACCCTGTCCCAAAAAACCAAAAAAAAAAAAAAAAAAAAAAAAAAAAAAAAAAACCCAAAACCTCCATCCCTGTATTTGGCACGGTGGTTCTCACGCAGCAAAACACGCAGGTGGACCAGCAGAGGTCAAGAAGCAGAGTGTTTACATAAGCTATTCCTACTTCTCACAGCCGTGACATAGAGCAAGGGGTAGACAATCCTTTATGACACGTGTGCTGTTCATGTTTGAAACAGTTAAGAAACGCCCTTTAAAAACGGCCTAGCTAACAGCTAAACTGCATTTAAACTCAGGTTTCAATACTTAAAAATTAAAAAGCAGGCTGTCTCACACTTTACACTTGAAACTATCTGCAACGTTCTACAGACAGGCTCTTTCAAAAGTCTCAGTTCAAACTTCAGTAATTTCAAAAATAGAAATGCTAAAAGTTTAAAACAAGGATAACTGGAAATAACAAGTATTTTTATTTCTTTCCTGCATGATCAGGAATTCTTTTTTTTTTTTTTTTTTTTTTTTTTTTTTTTTTTTTGAGACAAAAATCTCACAATGTAGCTCTGGCTGGCCTGAAACTTCCTGTGTAGACCAGGCTAGCCTCAAACTCACAGAGATCAGCCAGCTTCTGCCTTCTGGGTGCTGGCTTTAAAGGCCTGCACCATCATGCCTCGGGTGTGTTTTTAATACAAAACTTTAGTGTTACTTTTTTGGTTCTTCTGATTGAAGATCATAAGTGAATATCAATATTAGCAATTATGTTCCTATACAACACAGTGCCATAGTGATTCTCAGTATACTGTATTCCTTCAAACTACTCCAAAAAAGATTTGAAGGCTTTCCTCCACAAAGAGTGGTAAGTAAAGTCATGCATGTCAGTGTGATTCAGCCACTTCACAATGTATGTGCATTTCCAAACTGCATCTTGTATATAATAAATATACACAGTTTTAAATAATCAAATAATAGTTTGAAATTCATAAAAGCAAAAAAAGCTAAAAATGAACTGAAATGATTGAAGTTTAGATACTGTTTGTAACATAAGTCTATGGCGGGTGTATGTTCCAGTCATCAAGCTGAAGACTGGGCAAAGAGTTTGGAGACAGGCACTCTGACGACCTTTGAGACCAGGACCTTGTACCTTCCTGTCTGGAAGTTCCGGGATAGAAAGGAACTGAACAGCTAGGCTATTAGAGACAGAGTTCTTTTTATAAAGCCAAGTAGCAGAGATTCTTCAGATAAAGGTAGAGGCTAGAGAGAGATCACATTAATAAAATGAAAATATTTGCTATGGAGTAAACAGATTAACGAAAGCCCTCCTGCAGACATCGAGACGACACGCTTTGGTCTCCTAGAGGAAATAACTAGTGATTTTTTCGCTGGGTGGTGGCGGCGAACGCCTTCAATCCCAGCAGTTGGGAGGCAGAGGCAGGTGGATCTCTGTGAGTTTGAGGCCAGCCTGGTATACAGAGCGAGTTCTGGGACAGGCACCAAAACTACACAGAGAACCCCTGTCTCGAAAAGAAAGAAAGAAAGAAAGAAAGAGAGAGAGAGAGAGAGAGAGAGAGAGAGAGAGAGAAGGAAGGAAGGAAGGAAGGAAGGAAGGAAGGAAGGAAGGAAGGAAGGAAGGAAGGAAAGAGGGAGGGAGGAGGGAGGGAGGAAGGAAGAAAAAGAAATAAATAAAAAGAAAAAAATAACTAATGATTTTTACAGTGGTTTAAGCTAATTGATTATCCTGGGAAATTATTTGAATTAGTAGCGATAATTGGAAAGGACTCGAGAGGGGCCATTCTTTATACTAATGAAAAGAAGGCTTGAAGCATTTTCCCCGTTTTCAACCTTAAAGGACTAAGAAAACTGAAGAGGTTATTGGACCCCCTTCCTCAAACCACCTGAGCACCACGACCTTTAGAAACAGAACATCTCGGTGGTAGAGCGCTTGCCTAGCAAGTGCAACGCCCTGGGTTCGATCCTCAGCCTTGGGTTCGATCCTCAGCTCCAGGGGGAAAAAAAAACATCTCCCAGAAGCTTCTCCACATGGTCTCCGGGCAAGAGATGAAGTGCTAGAGCCCCTCCACCCTCCAGAGAACACAGCCCTAGCTCCGTTCCCAACGCCTGAGTGACAGCTGCGCCCCACCCGGAGATTACTTGGGGACCGAGTGAGCCCCGCAGTACGTGGCCGAGAGGCCGAGGTGCAGCTCCCGCCGGGCGCGCTCGATGACGCGCAGCATCTTGAGCTCCGTGTCCAGGTCGAGGCCGTAGCCGCTCTTGCACTCCACCAGGGTGGAGCCGGCCCTCTGCATGCACTGCAGCCGCCCCCGGAAGGAGCCGTACAATTCCTCCTCGGAGGCGTGGCGCGTGTGCTCCACCGTGAAGTTGATCCCGCCTCCGGCCTGGTGAATGTCCATGTACGTGGCCCCTGCCAACTGAACCAAGGCATGGCTCACTCAGGGAGGGTACAGAGTAGCTCTACAGAACCTACCTCCGGGGGTGACAGTAGACGATGATGAAGAAGGGGTTCGGCAGGAAAGAGCAAGCGCGCTGTTGCAGAGGACTGGGGTTCAGTTCCCAGCATCCACGTGGCCGCACACAATCAGCTGTCACTCCTGGGGACTCAGATTCTCATATCTCTCTCTCTCTCTCTCTCTCTCTCTCTCTCTCTCTCTCTCTCTCTCTCTCTCTCTC